CTGTTTCCTTCTCTGGCGGGGTGCTGTGTACCCTGGGAGGGGGGGCACTGGGGCATCCCCCTCCTGCCACGGCTCTGTCCCTACTGCCCTTCCCTGGGAGATGCTCTCCACTGGCTGCCCACTCATGAGCACAGCCAGGGTCCTGCCCATCCTCATCACCCTTCATGGGCTGTCAAGGCAGGAAAAATTCTCAAGGAAAGCCCTGGGGACACTTAGGTCTGAAGAGGATGAGTAGGATGCTCAAGAGGCTTCTCTTTTTCTTTTAACTGTTTTTATACAGAAAGACTTGGCATTACACTTGTGCATTACCCAGCAAATTGGTGTTTAGGTAGATTGCTGCAGCTGGTTGGGTTTATTCTTGAAGGGATTAATAAATGAAGTTAATCTGCCTAATGTACCATTGCTGGAGAGAGCAACACAGCTGAGTCTATGTTCAGCTCACACAGTGCCCTCCTACCCTCTCCAGCCAGACCCCTTATGATAAAGCAGTATGTGGGGAGCTCATGGTGTGCCAGGAACACCCCACCAAGCCTGGCCTCACCTGGGATCCTGCACGCTTGGAACTCACTGCCATCCCAGGGCAAATGGTTTCCCCAGCTGTCGCCTCATGCATGACAGTGTCAGGTCCCTCTTTTGCACTGAGGTCACTGCAAAGAAGAGACTGCAGGAAAGCTGGCAACCACCAAACCTGGAGAAGCTCCTGTCAGCTCTTTCCTCCAGCACCCGCAGCTTTCACTTCCTCCTGATGGGCACACACCCACCTTCCCCAGCCCCTGTCTACTCAGCCTCATCACTCCCCAGGCAGCACTGGCATTTCTCTGGCAGTGGCTGCTGGTTTGGGAGCACAGGACACCCAGCAGGTGCCAGGAAGCTCACACACAGACTTGGAGCAGGTGTATCTGCACATTGTCTGCCAAGTTCCTGTCGTTTTCAGTGCCATTATGGAGCATTTAGCACATGGTGGGGGGTTGGAAAACCATTAATTAGGAGCACCTTCAAGCTGTTGCTCCAGCCTTTTTCCAGCCCTGTGGAGATGCCAATCCCTTGCCCATCTCATAGGGATGATGCCCACGGTGCTGCTGGAACAGGAGAGCCTGGGAATGAGGAGCCCCATGCCGTGCCCAGCACACAGCCCTCTGCAACACAGCAGCCCCCATCCTGTTGCTCCTCTGCCTCGTGGGGTTCCAGGAGTTTGGGGTGCCAGGGTGGTGCTCACCAGCACCCTGGGGCTTGATGCAATGTCCAAGAGCCTGTGGCGCTGCACAGGGCCCTGCTGCGGCGTTTCCTGTTTTTCGTAGCCAGAGGCCATGTGTGTTTCCGGCTGTTTTTGAGCTGCTCTGCAGCAGTAACGTGCAGGTCCTCCACCCTCACACCCACAGCAGGCTCCTGGGGCACCTCCAGCTCTGGCCATGCCCGGACACGCTGCAGGGTTTCCCAGGAGCTGGCGAGTGGCCGTGCTGCAGTCAGAGCCAAGGATCCCTATGGCCTCGCGGGCTGTAATCTGGCTTTCACCAGATTACAGGGCCACAAATGCCTTAATTAAGACAAGCCTAATTTGCTTAAAGGAGCCCGTTTGTAGTAACCCAATTAAAGCAATGTGAGCTGGAGAAATCAAAACCTGCCTTGATTCCCCTGGCAGCCCTCATCAGTCCTGGTGGGTGTTGCACACTGGGGACCCGACCACCACCTCTGCCGGGACCCTGTGGGCAGCGGGGCAGGCGGTGCTCCCCGGGGAGCTTGGGGTGCCTGCAGCCTCCCAGCGTGGCGCTGCTCCCTGTCTCTCCAGCCTCCCGCCTCCTGCTTCCTCCCAGGACGCTGTCCCTTTGTGTTTTTGACTATAAATGGCATGGCGCCATCGATTGTTTCCGCCGGCACTGCGGCTGGTTGCCATAGCACTGAATATTTTCCTCTTGCCATTTCCCCCCTGTGCAAACGGCCAGGGAAACGGGGTGAGCCCCCCAGCCCTGGCTGCATCCTCTGCTGGGCTCCCAGTGCCGGCACACTGCCCCCAGTCCCTCGGTGCTGCGTGTCCCGTGTCACCCTGGCCGCTGGTGTCCTGCCCTGCCTGTGTCTGGCAGGGACACGGGCTTACCCCAGGATGCACATGGGGCCTCTGCTGTGCATCCCAGCTTGGCACTGCCCACCCCAGCTGAACAATGCTGGCAGATGGGCAGGGGCCTCTGGGCCAGCGTGGGGATGTCCCATGGGATCTGGGTGGGTCGTGCCCCACGGTCCAGCTCCCACAGCACCTTTCCTCTTTGTCCCCAGCTACCTGAACGACCTGGAGAGGATAGCCCGTGCCGACTACATCCCCACCCAGCAGGACGTGCTGCGCACCAGGGTCAAGACCACGGGCATTGTAGAGACTCACTTCACCTTTAAGGACCTGCACTTCAAGTATGTCTGACCTCTTTCCCTTTTGCCTTTTTGAAAGCAAAAAACCCTTCCTCCCCATGCTGGGATGGACCATGGGTGCACACTGCATGCACTCCTCCCCACCTCCTGGTTTGCTCATGGCGGGAACTGCTGCCTCAGAGAGCGGAAACCGCTGAAATAGCTGGAACAGCCTCAGAAACACTTCACAGAACTCAGCCTGGGGGCGGATCCAGGCTCTGGCAAGGAGGGGAGAGGGAAGGCGTCCCTCCTCCTGCTGCTGTGACGCTGCTTCCGCTGCAGGAAGGGCGCTGGGCAGGAGCTGGGGTCTCGGGGTCAGGCAGTGGCAGCACTGCCTGCTGGCACCCTGTGGTTGCTTTCCACTAAAACCCACGGGAAATAATAAGGGCTCCAGTTTTGGAGGCAAAAAGCTGCCATTGTGCACATCCCCAGGGGATTTAGTCCCATGGCAACAGAGTTGATGTCAGAAAGATCTGCTGGGGTCCTCTCTGAATGCAGGGGGCTCGCAGGGACCCCGATGCCACCCTGGTAGAATGGAGACACTTGGTTGTGCATTGCCAGGGCAGCATTTTGGAAGTGGCAGTGGGTTGGCCTGGGGGAAATGCAGTATGTCCCAGTGGGGAAGCCTTCCTGCCAGCCAAGCAGTTGGCAGTGGGCATGGCAGTGGATGTGGAATGCTGCTGCTGGGCTCTTCTCCATGGAGGCAGGGCATCCTCTGCTGCCCGTGGAGGGAGAGGCATATGGTTCATCGGGATCATCCCCAAGCCCTGCTGCTGCCACAATCCTGCTGAGCCCACACTGACTTGGCTCCCCTTGGTCCAAGGTCTCTGCAAAGCTCTGCTGTGCCTGCTCTGGAGCAGGTCTCTGGGGAACATGACACTGACATCCCCTGGGAAAGGTGGCCTGATCCTGCCCCAGCTCACATCATGGATTTGCTTTGGCTGGGAAATGAGCCTAGACACTTTCCTGGCAGCAGGAGCTGGGGCAGATCCTCAGTACTGGCAAAATCCCTGGGGCAGAGGCACTGTGCTCTGCCTGCACCAGTGCTGCTCCTGCTCTGGGCGGCTGGAGACACTGAGACAGGGAATGGGGTGAGGGTGGTGGCATGGGAGCTGCCATCCATCCCCATGTCACCCCCTTGCAGGATGTTCGATGTGGGTGGCCAGCGCTCGGAACGGAAGAAGTGGATCCATTGCTTCGAGGGGGTGACAGCCATCATTTTCTGTGTGGCCCTGAGTGCCTATGACCTGGTGCTGGCTGAAGATGAGGAGATGGTGAGTCATAGGGATGGAACCAGTGCCATGAGACATTCCCTGTGTGGGGGGCTGGGGGAGCAGCCCCTCCTCTGGTGGCCACCAGTGCCCTGGCTAGTGTCCAAACCTTGCAGGCCTATTGGCATCCCCTGCCCAGGCAGGAGCATGGGGGGTGGCAGTCTGGGGAGCAGTGGGGTGGGTGGTGCCTGGGGGTCCCTGCCTGGCTCATGTTGCTGTCTTCCCTGCCAGAACCGGATGCACGAGAGCATGAAGCTGTTTGACAGCATCTGCAATAACAAGTGGTTCACAGACACGTCCATCATCCTCTTCCTCAACAAGAAGGACCTCTTTGAGGAGAAGATCGTGCACAGCTCCCTCACCATCTGCTTCCCTGAGTACACAGGTACCCCTGGGACCCTCTGTGCCCCTGCCCTCCTGGCAGGAGCAGTGGGCAGTGCCTTGCCCCAGGCAGGGTAGCAGGAGCTGCTAGGGACAGAGATGCTGGCTCCCCTGTGCCTGAGGAGCAGTGGGTTGGGGCAGCAAGTGAGGTGTGATGGGTGTTTGGGCTGCCCCAAGAGATGGGAGGTGTGGGGGGACACAACACAAGGGGCAGCTGTCCTGAAGGGGGTTATCTGAGGCTCATTCTGCCTCTGCAGCCTCAGGCAACAGGACAGTGGCTGTGGAGGGCCAAGCCAAGCCCAAACCCTTTGGTGGCCGTGGGCAACTGTGGGGCAGCCCAGTGTCTCTTTTTCCCCAGGGGCCAACAAGTATGATGAGGCAGCCAGCTACATCCAGAGCAAGTTCGAGGACCTGAACAAGCGGAAGGACACCAAGGAGATCTACACCCACTTCACCTGTGCCACGGACACCAAGAACGTGCAGTTCGTCTTCGACGCCGTCACCGACGTCATCATCAAAAACAACCTGAAGGACTGTGGTCTCTTCTGAGGGTGGCGCTGCCCAGGTGGGTGGTGGTCTCAGTAGTGGCTCCTCAAATGGGGTGGTCATGGACCATCCTTCAGCTGCAGGCTCCCCTGTCCCCAGACCCTCCCCTGCTCACGGCCTCTCTCTCCTAGGAGCTGCAACGGAAGGACCACACCATCTCCCACTCCTGCTTCTCTTCAGATTCATTCCTCCACCCACCACATAAAGAGACTTTTTGAGTGTCAGCATGGTGGCAGGGCCCATGTACCTCCTGCTGGCCGTGTTTGCTCCCCACCATTGTTCTCCTCCTCGCCGGCGTTGCCCCTCCAGGGAAGACAAGGTTTTGAATCTTGGTTTGTACCCCTCCAACCCTTCCAGCCCCCATTTCATTCACTCCGAGCCCTGGCGCTCTCACTGTTTACATTGCAAGTGTTGCTGGCACGGGGGGCACAGGGTCCCCTCGGGGATGCTCACCCAGCCACAAACACGACCGATGACATTCCTTTTAGTAAACCAGAAAAGAAAGAAGAAAGAAAAAAAGGAAAAAAAAAAAAAAGAAAAATCGACAAAACCAAACCCAAAACCATGCAAAAAAACCACACCACACCAGTTGGGCACAGTTTACTTTTTAAAGAAACCTTTTTACCAAACTATTTAAAAGCATCAAGTGCTACATGGTGGTGGCATCCTCCATGGCCAGCCCACCCCCCAACCGTGTGCCTTTGGGGGGGAGGGTCTGCACCCCACCCCGCCTCGCTGCCCCCATCCCGACGGGCAGCTCGGGCAGGAGGGTGGGCAGGGGGTGCTGCCCACTGCCTCTATCCCCCCCCTCTTTCTAAGCCTAGTTTTTAGGGCTAGCTGTTGCGTTGGGCGAGGAGAGCCCGCTGTACAGAGCGGCCCCCGCTGTCCCCCCAGCCCAGGGGGACCTTTCAGTCGGTGCCTGCGGCCTCGCTTTTCCCACAGGATCTTTTACCGAATTGTTCACGTGGTTTGAAATAATAAAATGTAGAAAGGAAAAAAAAAAAACCATTATATATACTGAAGTGTCCTGTGTTACTTGGGGGTGGGCAGGGGGGCTTCACTTCCGTGGGAGGGCTGGGGTGGTCCCCAGGGGTGGGAGAGGGACACAGGGTGTGTTGGCATCCCCCTGGAGTCAGGAGAAGCCCCTGGTGTGGGAGGTGGGGGCAATGGTGGGGCCCTTGGGGGTGTCGTTGGGATGCTGCCGCAGGGCCAAGCCCTAGCCCAAGGAGCTGTGGGGTGGGGGGGAACAAACACATGACCACTGGCTCGGCAGCGGTGACATGGTGGCACCAGGGGAGCCCCAGTATCACACAGTCCCTGGGGATACCCAGTACCCAGGAACACCCAATGATCTGTAGCACCCCTTGCACCCAGCAGCCCACAGGAACCCCCAGTCCCAGGGATCACCCATGGACACTCCACACCCAAAGGACCCCCCGCTCCCAGGGATTTGTGGAGACTCCCGGCACCCCCAGCTCCAGGGGGGCACCAATGGACACCCAGCAGCACTCAAGGGACCACCCCAGCATCCAGAGCTCCGGAGGGCACCTGCACCCCCCAGCACCCAAGGGAACCTCTAATACTCATCAGCTCCAAAGGGTACCCACAACCCCCCAGTCTCCCCAGTGCCAAGGGTCATCTGGGAACCCCAGCACTTCTCAGCTCTAAAGGAACCCAGGGACACCCCAGGATCCCTCAAATACCTAGGGACACTCAGGACCCCCAAACACCCCTCTGCTCCAAGGGGTACTCAAGGATGCTCAGCACCCAAGAGAACCCCCATGCCACACAGCTCTGAGGGTTACCCAGGGACCTGCAGCACCCAAAAGTATCCCGCACCCTGTAGTATCCAGGGTCATCCGGGTACCCCGAGGAGCAGAGCCCCAGAGACCCCCAGCAGAACGGGGGGCCCCACAGTGCTGACTGGTGAGAGAGTTGGTGGGGAGGGGGAGTGAGATTGCACCCCTTCCCCGCCCCCCTTCACCAGGGGTGGCTTTGGAGCTGAGCAGGTCAAATCCCAGGGGTCTGGGGCAGTGGAGGTGGTTGTGGAGGTGGAATGGGGTCAGCAGCGGGGCTGGTCCCAGGGGAGGGGGTGCTCGGCTGGGGCTCAGAACAGCCCGCAGTCCTTGAGGTTCTCCTTGATGATGATGTCAGTGACGGCGTCAAAGACGAACTTGACGTTCTCGGTATCGGTGGCGCAGGTCATGTGGGAGTAGATCTCCTTCACGTCCCGCCGCATATTCAGCTCCAGGAACTGCAGCTTGATGTAGTTGCCCGCATCGTCGTAGGTGTTGGGACCTGGTGGCAGTGAGCAGGATCCCTTCCTGGACTGGTGTCCCCCGCCAAATGCCGGCCCAGGATTACCCAGCGCTCCCTCGGGTGGGTAAATCCTGCATGCTCCCCAGCAAGGCGCATGCAGCACCGCTCGCACGGGGTGCTGAGGACACCTGCTGGGGGACTCCTGCGGGGGTGGTGGCACCCAACCCTCCAGCAGCATCCCACCGCCACCAGCCACTGCCACACTCACCGTCGTAGTCAGGGAAGCAGATGCTGAGATGGGCCTTCTTGATCTTCTCCAGGAAAACGTCCTTCTTGTTGAGGAAGAGGACGATGGAGGTGGTGGCAAAGTAGCGGTGGTTGCAGATGCTGTTGAAGAGGTGCAGGCTCTCATGCATGCGGTTCTGAGGAGGGACACAGCCTCGTGATGGCACCCAAGTCATGACCAGGACAAAGCAGGGAGGGTTTGAGGTGGTGAGCATTCCTCACCACTTCATCATCCTCCACCAGGACCATGTCGTAGGCACTGAGAGCCGCGATGAAGATGATGCAGGTCACACCCTCAAAGCAGTGGATCCACTTCTTCCTCTCTGAGCGCTGCCCGCCCACGTCGAACATCCTGGGCAGGACAAAGGAGGGTCAGCACCCCCCACCCCCTGCCCACCCCCTGGCACCAGCCCTCACTGGGGGCCTGGCCCCCACCTGAAGTTGAGGTCTTTGAAGGAGAACTGGGTCTCGATGATGCCGGTTGTCTTGACGCGGGAACGCAGCACGTCCTGCTCTGTGGGGACGTAGCCGGGGGTCACCAGGCGCTCCAGGTCTGACAGGTAGCTGGCCAGGCACGCGGTGGGCATGAGAGACAGGTCGGAACGCCCCTCGTGCCTCCCCCACCCACGCTCCCTGAGCACGTACTAGCCCGCAGAGTCATTGAGCTGGTACTCGGAGGCGCGGTCAAAGCAGGCTTGGATGCCCGAGTCCTTCCAGAGGCGCCCGATGATTTCTGACATCTCCTTGGGCATGGTCCCCTCCTCGATGGTGTCCGAGAGGTGCAGCAGCTTGCGGGCATCGTCCTGCGAGGGAGAGGGGTTCAGTGGGGCCTGGGGACTGTGGGGAACCCTGCCCAACATGGAATACTCCTCACCTGGCGAGCGGTGTCCCCGTACTGGATGTTGAGGGTGGTCATGGCCCGCACGATGGCCAGCATGGACTGGAGCGTGTTGCTGTAAATGATAGCAATGAACTCCAGGCATTCCTCCAGCGAGTAACCGTCCTGGTGGATGATCCTGGCCGGGGAAGATCACAGGCACGGAGCTGAGCTGGGTGCCATGGAGCTGAGCCACACCCATGGCAGTGGCAGGGGGCAGAGTCAGGCACAGTGGGATAGGGCACCCCATGGAGAGGGCACCCCATGGCTGCAGTGTGGGACAGACACTGTGCACGGTGGGTGCAACCAAGTGACCCCCCTTGGCACTTACTTCATCTGCTTGACAATGGTGCTCTTCCCCGACTCCCCTGCTCCTAAGAGGACAAAACATGGGTCATGCTGGTGCCCGTGCCATGGGCACTCCCAGCTGAGCCCCGTGCTGGCTCACTGGGAGCCTTGGTGCCTGGCATGGCTGCGGGCACTGCTGGCCAGGCTGGTCCATGGCTCGGGGCGTGCAGGGGGATTAGCAGCCTGTGCCAGAGGCATTAAGGTTAGGCTGAGCTGCTGTGTCTCATGGGATCTGAAGCGGCTCAGCCAGGGACACTCTCAGGAACCCAAGGGAGGGGTTGGGGACATGGTGGCATTGCAACCCTGCCACCCACCACCCAATGCCCCAAACCTGTGGCTGGGCAGACAGATGCCTCCTGGGCCAGGCTGTGAGGACAGTGATGCCACCCGTGGCCCCACCACATACACAGCACCCCAGTCCTCAGCCACCACTGGGGACTGGGAAGGACTGGGAGGGACACAAAGCACAAGGGGGCTCCAGGGACAGACATGGGGTGGTGGTATGGGCTGCATAGGGGTCCCTAGGAGGATGGGGCAGGGGTGCTGATGGGCTGGAGTGGTGATAGGTGGAGTTGGTGAAGGCTCTTCAGATGGGTTGGTTGGGGTTAGGGGACCTGGGATTTGGGGGTTGTTAGGTGGGCTGGTTGGGCTGAGGGATATATGGAAGCCAGGGGATCTTGGGGTGGATCTTAGGAGGACCTCAGGATCTCATCTTCTTGTTGAGATGGTCTGTTGTGTTTGGGGTGCCTGGTAGGGGGTGTTGAGCAAGCTGGGATGAGCTGGTTTAGGGGATCCTGGGAATGGGGGGGGGGGGGCTGTTAGGGCAGCTGGTTGGGTTTAGGGGTGCCAAGTAAGAAAGAAAACATTGGGTGGGCTTTTTGGGTGGACTGGTTGGCTTTTAGGTGCTGTGGGGGTCAGAGGACTACTAGAGTGGGCTGACTGGTTTTAGGGGTGCTTAGGAGCAGGGGCCTGGGGACTGTTGAAGTGATTTGGTTTAGAGTGGGGTCAGGGAAACTTTGGTTGTTTTACTGGGGAGGGGTTGGTTGTTTTGGGGATGCCTGGGAGTGGGAGGCTGTTGGGGACACTCCTGGGTTGTGCTGGTTTGGTTTAAAGGTGCCAGAGGCATCAGGGAAACATTGGGTGGGCTCTTGAGATGGGGAGGTTTGGTTTAGGGCTGCTGGGAATGGGGTTGATGTTGGGGTAAGCTGCTTGGTTTTAGGAATCCTGGGTGAGTCAGGAGAATGTTGAATGAACTGTGAGGGTGGGCTGCTTGGGTTTGGGGGTCCATCTGGGGGGCAGAGGAATGTTGGATTGGCTGGTTGGGTTCGGGGGCAGTTATGGGGTGTGCTGGTTGGGTTGAGGGGTGATGGTTGGGTTGGGGGGCACTGTTAGGTTTCAGGGGCGCGTTGGGTGGGTTGTTAGGGTGAGATGCTCAAAGGATGGGTGTGTCCCCCAGGGTGTCTTCTCCCTCTTACCCAGCAGCAGCAGCTTGACGGTCCTGGCGTCCTTCTCAGCATCTTCCTTGAGCTTCTTCTCCAGCTCTCGGGAATGCTTCTCCTCGGCACTGGCCCCGGCTCCCATCCTCAGCCCCGCAGCCCTGCGGTTCACCACCCGCTCCTTGGAGGTCAGCACCAAGATGGGCAGCGAGCTCCAGCCTCCCGCCGCCTCCAGCGCTCGCTCCCGGTGCCCGCCGCCGCCGCTGCCACCGCCGCCCGCCCGATGTGCGACAAGGACGGGGCCAAGGTCCCGGGGGGCCGCCTGCCGGGGGGCTGTGCTCAGCACCCGGGGCTTAAGCTGGGCCCCCCCGATAAACCCCCTGCAATCTGCAGCGGGCTGAGCTCAGCAATCCCGCGGCTCCGCTGTCAGCACTTCTGCCGGGGGGGTGCCCGGCCCGAGCAGCCCCAGCTCTGCCTCCACCCTGGGGCTGGGGCGGTGACACGGCCACCCTGCGGGAAATGGCACCCAGAGCCACCTCCAGCTCTGCTGTGGAGCCCAGGGGTCTGGAACTGGGGGTGGGATAGTGTGTCTGCTGGGATCTGGTCGGAGTAGGAGCAAATGTCCCCATTGTCCCCATGTCACCTGGTCACACCCCCTCCTGGACCGGTGCCCACTAAGTAAGCCATGCCGGTGTCTCCATGAGCGCTGCCCACAGTGATAGAATGTCACCCTCAGTCACCGCACCCTGTGTCCCCAGGGACACGTCCAGAACCCTCCACTAATGTCCCCATGCCCCTCTGGGTGCACTCAGTGTGCCTGCCCAGCCACCCGCCAGTACACTCCCAGTGCCACAGGCCAGCTCAGTGTCACCTCCACAGCGTCCCCAGATCCCCCAGCAACACCTGCACGATGTCCCCAGGGATACCCGCACACCCTCCACAGGGTTTCCAAAGCCTCCTCAGTAACACTCCTCAGTGACAACTGAAGATGTCCCCAGTGACTGTGACCAGTCACGAAACACCCTGTCCAACGTCCAGGGACACTGCAATGCCACCTCTGTGTGCCACCCCAACTGCAGTGAGCCCCCACAATGTCTCTGTGTCCCTCAGTGTGCCTTCCCAGTGCCCCCTCAATGTCCCCGGTGCTCCCCATTGCCACTGCGGCCACCACAGCAAAACTGAGTGTCCCAAGGAGCACCGCAGTAACTCCCCAGTGCTCCCCCACCTCGGTGACAGCAGGCCTTGCCAGGACTGCCCCAGTGTCCCCAGTACAGCCCAGTGTGTCCCTGTGCCACACAGCCCAGTGTGTCCCTGTGTCACATTGTCACACAGCACAGTGTGCCCCTGTGTCACACAGCCCAGTGTGTCCCTGTGTCACACAGCCGTGTGTCCCTGTGTCACACAGCCGTGTGTCCCTGTGTCCCGTTTGTCCCCAGCGATCCCCTCCCCGTGGCTCTCCTGCAGCGCCCCACTCGGCCGCCAGAGGGCGGAAGCGCCCAGCGCATCTCCCAGTACAGCCCAGTACAGCCCAGTACAGCTCCCAGTACAGCCCAGTACAGCCCAGTACAGCTCCCAGTACAGCCCAGTACAGCCCAGCACAGCCCAGTACAGACCAGTACAGCCCAGCGCAGCTCCCAGTACAGCCCAGTACAGCCCAGCACAGCTCCCAGTACAGCCCAGTACAGCCCAGTGCCCCCAGTACAGCCATGCGCACCCCCACTACTCACACCAGTGCCTCTCAAGACTGGCCAGAGGAGCACAGTATCGCCTCCATTACCCCAAAACTGAACAGAGTGCCCTGCTACAGCCCAGTATTTCCCACTACAGCCCCAGCCAGCCCTACAGAACCATTACCACTTCCCTACCACTCTCCCAGTGCCACCAAGTACCAGCTCCTACTACCAAATCCGAATGCCTCAGTACTTCTAGTCCTCCCAGTACTGCCCAGTACAACCTCCAGTGTGCCCAGTACAACCCCCGATACAGCCCAGGCCCTTTCAGAACTGACCCCAGTAACTGCTGGACTACTCAGAGGAGCTTGGTACCGCCCCCATACCAAAATGCTCCCAGCATCATCCACTACCACCCCCAGTGCCCTCTGTAGTTCCTCCCCTGCTCCATGCCCCCAGTACCACCAAGTACCTACTCCCACCACTATATCCTAATATCCAGTACTTTCCCCAGTGTGCCCAGCGCTTTCCTGTGCCCGCAGGAGTGACTCTGAGTGTTCCCGGTACCTTCAGTGGGGCAGCCACCTGCACAGCCCGTGTACCCCCACACCCAGCAGCAGCATCCACCACTGCCGCCTCCCCACACCCCGTCCTGCCCCCACACCAGGGACCCGCTGCCCCCTGGGGCAGGGCAAGCACCCCGGCAGGGCTCAGGGCATCTCCTGGTGGGGCCAGGTGTGTCCCCGACAGAGCACACACAGGTCTGTCCCAAAGCCAGTGTTTATTTGGGGGTGCCCCTAGCTGCAGCACGGGGCACTCACTCAGCCCTGGTCACCCCTGTGTTTCCCATGTACAACTATTTACAGCCCTCCACACCCACCGGGGTGCCCAAGGAGGGTGGCTGATGGGCTGGGTGCCCCAAAGACCTCTGGGTGCCGCTGTCACCAAGCACCAGCAGCTGCTTGAGGATTTACACCAGCATGGCCCCTTCTCCTTCCCTTCTCCATCCAAAGACCCTGGGGGCCAAGACCCCACTATTGGCTGAACACCTCGGTCCTACCTTGAGGTCCCATCCCACCCCTGCCAAGCCCCCGGGGAGGGGACAGAGCTGTGTGCCCTCAGCCCTCCTCCTCAGCTTGCCTGGGGAGGGGACAGCTTCTCTACAGAAAGCACTTGCTCTTCCATAGCCCTGTGGGGAAACTGAGGCACAAAACTATGATGGCCACGCCCAGCTTGCAGTGGGCAGCCCTTGTCTGGCACTGCCTGCCCCACGCCTCACCCCCCTGCCCTGCCCAGGGCATCTTCCCCTCCCTCACAAGGACATCCATGCCCCAGCTGTGACAGGGGCTGTGGTGCTCCATGGTTCCTGCACAACAGCATCTGGGGGTCCTTGGCAGGGGGAATGACAGCGATGGTGGCTGCAGCCACCTCAAGGGTCCCTGCTCCTCCCTGGAGCTGGGAGCTGGGGGTACACCACCCCAGTGACTACGTACAGCCTACAAATAAATACCACCTCCCGTGGGAGGGGGGAGCGCGTGTGTCTGCCTGTGTGTGTGCGTGCGTGGATGTGTATATATATATATATATATTTATTTATTTATTTATAGATATTTTTAATATTAAAAGGGGGGAAAAATAGACCACTGTGCTAGCAAAGTCCCTGATGATGGTTTCATGTATGCCCATAGGTCTCTGGCTGGTGATTCCGCCGGTTTCGAGGCTTCTTCTGCTCCTGCTGCTCCTTGGCTTTGAGGCCGGCCAGCGGCTGCGGGGGGCTGGCGGCCGTGTGCCGCCAGTAGCCCTGGCAGTACTGGTCCAGGAGTCCCATTTCAGGCTGAGTGAGGAGCTGCAGCAGGTCCTGGTAGCGGGGAGTGGGGGCACCCGGCAGGCCGGGGGGGGGGCTCGGCCTGGACCAGCACGGTGTGGACGGCGCGGCTGCTGAGGACACGGAGCTGCACCTTGGTCACCGTGTGCTTGAAGTTGTTCTCGGTGGCGGTGCAGGAGTAGAGGCCGCTGTCGCCGAGCTGCAGGGCGCGCAGCAGCAAGCCCTGCTCCGTGCGCAGCACCCGGCCCTCCACCCGCAGCTGGGGGCAGAGGAGCACGGCTCAGCGGCTGTGCCCGCCGTCCCCGCTGCCCCCGGTGCCCTGCCCTGCCCTACCTCTTTCCGCCGGTCGCTGTTGTCCTTCTGCAGCAGCCACTTGACGCTGGCCTGGGGCGAGCGGGGCTGGCACTCCAGGAAGGCTGTGCTGCCCTCCACCCCGTACTGCACGGCCTCCACCGTGTTCTTGTTAGCTGCAGGGGGGCCATGGGCAGCCAGGTCACCCCCACCCCACTGCACTTCTCCCCTGCCCACTCTGTCTCCAAGGGTGAGTGTCCATCCATCGATCCATCCATCCACGCATTCATCCCTCTATCTCTATCCACCCATTCAAATCTGTTCAATCTCCTCCCCAACATATCCATCCATCCATTCACGCATTCACCCACCCATGAACCGACCCATTCATCTGTGCTTGTCCCCATCCCCGGTGTTCCACTCATCAGTGTCCATCTTCCTCCCTACAGCTACCCACTCATCCACCCACCCGCCCATCCATCCACGTATCTCCCCGAACATCCATCACAAAACCCGCCAAGGAATCCCTGCGTGCCCAGCTGCAGCCCTGTGCCCTCAGCCTCCCTGTGAGGTGCCCCACACGCGGGGCCGGGCCCAGACCCCGCTCACCGTTGGAGTTGTAGCCGCGGCACTGCCGGATGGGGTTGCCGTGCCGGACGTCCTGCCGCCGGCTGCGCCTGTGGGGCGGTGGGAGGTGAGGGGGGCAGCCTGAGGCTGGGGGTCCCTCCCTGGCCCTGTCCCCGGCCGTACCTCTTGGAGGAGGCGGAGTAGCGGGTGCAGGCGCTGCCGTCCCAGGCGCAGTAGGGGTCCCGGGCCAGGCAGCAGTCGGCACAGGCTTCCCCGTACACGTCGCAGCGGTGCAGCGCCAGGTGCGTCACGCCCACGGCCGAGGACACGTACAGCTGTTGCTGTTGGGAACAAGGAGGGCAGGGGAGTACTACCTCATCCCCACCGCATCAGGGCCCTGCAAACATCCTGTTCCAGTGCCATGCCACAGCTGGGACCTGCCCAGCCAGGCCTCTGCTAAGACTCACCCTCTTGGAGGAGATGGTCATCGTCTTGATGGGTGCTGGCACCTGGATGAGAGCAGGAATGAAGAAGATGGAGGGGTGACTGCTTGGACTGACGCTACAACCCTGGGGTGGGCACCCCAGACCCCCCCCAGGCAGCTGGAGCAGGCAGAGCAGGCAGGGGGAGATGTGAGTGGGCAGCAGGCAGGACCACCAAAGCCTGGAGTCCTTCCAGAGCTGGCCTAGAGGTAGCTAGTGTCCCAGGGGACTGGCTGATGTCCCAAGGGCTTGGTTGGCCGGGTCAAGAACACTCAGCAGAGGGTGGAGGACATGCCAACCCTTACCTTGAACACTTCAATCTCCTCCAGCATGAGCTCCTCTGTCTCCATGTCATCCCGGGGGAGCACAATGACCTTCTGCACGGTGCCCCGATCTGCAAGACACCATAGTGCCCAGGTGCTCAGTGCTACCCTGGGCACCCCTGCCCTCCCTGTCTGTGAAGGGGGTCCCTGCTGGGGCTGTGGAATGG